CCTCAACCACTTCCCATTAATTTAAATGTAAAATAAGTAATTCCTATAAGTCTCCAATTAGTACGAAATAACCGTAAAAAACACTGAATCCATCGTAGGTTCGATTTTCATTTAATCTATATACGAAATGGCTATCAGTGAATAGCTACGAACGTGAATTCGAAATTCTTAGAGAGCCTTCATCGAATCCGTTCGTAATGAAGTTTCGTACAGATACTCTGTCGGAACAAAATTTAAAGTCGCTAAATCTTAAAAATAATGCAAAAAAGCTGCATAGTTAATAACTATGGAACGGATTTTTAGGACCTAAAAACCTATAAAAAAGGCAAAATAAAATAACGAAATAGGCAGGAAAAGGCACTAGGTATTGCAAAAAAAAGCAAAATAAGGCACTAAAAAAAAAGACAGAAAATACGAAGAACAATCAAAAAATACATTTATTTTAGAAATGTTTATATTACAAGTAAAAAGAGAAAAACTGTGAACTAGTTTCATTATATGAAAAATTTGTACCTTGAATCTTTGCCTATTTTATCGTTTCGAGTTTAAACTTTAATCTGTATGGTTGTAGTAACATTGAACCACAAGATGCATTTTGAAGTTTTCTGGCAGATTTTTCATTCGATTTTCGCGAAGAAAAGCCTTGAATGTAGTAAATGTGCGCTCGACGTAAGTTGATACAAGTGGAGCCCAATTTAAATATGGAACGTTTGAAACGTTCATATTATCAGGAATAAGGGCGTTTTCCTTGCCCTTTACAATTTTATCCACACCCCTTATTGTCTCCAAGCCTACGTTAGCTGAGAATGAGCTTTGAATTCAATTTCCAACACCAATTTGGCAAGAGGTCCCTGCGCTTCTATAAGCCGCATGGGCATATGTGTATATTTTTTAATCTTAAAAAAAAAAATTGTAAATGCTATAATCACTTTTTTAAAGGTAGAAAAGGCAAAAAAGGCAAATATCTTTAAAAAGGCAAAAAAAGTCAACATCAAAGGTGTATATATGGAATAAGGGGAAAGCTAAATCGTGGACATTCTTAACCGAATATACTCTATCTCTTTAGCAGAAAAAAAGGCAATTTCCATAAAATCCGTTCCCTGTTAATAACAAATATTTATTATACTCCAAATTCGGTATAATAATAATAATAATAGATTGGCGCTCACACATATGTTAGTGTTTGGCGTAAAATACCAATGACGAATGACAAGCAAGACTTTGGCCATCGAAAGCGGATCTCGTCCAGATAAACGTTTGCTTTTGGCTGAATGCTGAATCTGATTAATAGATCCGCTAGCTATTTATATCTTCACCTTCATTCAATTCCATTTTATATTGCATATTATTGATTTTATGTACGAACATAACAGAGCCTGATCCTTCAGCTCTGCAATAAAGAAGTATAAACAAGCTCGCTTCCTAGGTCCTTTTTAAAGTTAGCACTCGAAAAATTGTGTACTCACAAAACTATATAGTATTTCAAGTGAAAGTGTCTTATAAATTTCATTGATATTTAAAAAAGCAATGCTTGACCAGAGATATACTAAAAAACTGATCATCAATCAGATGGGCTTATTATGGCTGCATTTATTTATTCATTCTGAAGCCTATATATCCGCACAAGTAGAAAACTTAATCAAAAATTAACAAAGGCATTAACAATTTCATTTTGCTATGCATCTGCGTTTTTACAACGTTTGGTCCCTGTGGTGGCGGCATTAAGTTTGCGGCTTAACTTTTTTAGACCACCCTAAAGTGCCTACACTGATCTGCTGGATGCAATTTAATAAATTAATATTTTTTATTAAGCGAGGCAATATTCAGCCTCATTGCGAGAGTCCTGTCGAATGCAAATCGTTTTTCGAGAGTCGAATCGTACCGAAGATTTCACGTCCTTGCCTAAAATATTCACTCGACTAGGGTATTAAAACGGAAAAACTTGGCAGCACTGCATAG